GAAGAGTATATAACCGATTGTTCTCCCATTGACTAGGTTGATTTACGTTGGGAAAATAATTTAGGTAGTTCGGTGACAATAATAAATCGACAGCGCTAGAAGTGGAAATTGGTGGGGCGCCGAGCGCTGGTCCCACATTTGAGGTTGGGGTCGCAGGTATAACACTGACTGTTGGGTTGCCGGTTACGAGAGGCCAACTCACTGGATGATTACTCAACACTGTGCTACTCACTCGAGGAGTTGATATACTACTAGAGACTCCGAACCGGGTTGACGATGGATGGCGATAAAGAGAATCAGCGATTAAGGAATCATACAATCGAGAAGAAATGGAATGAGTTCTCTGGGTGTTCTCAATGCTACTCGTAACAGACAAACCGACAGACGATGCAACGCTAACACCACTCGGCACGCCACCGATTGCCTCGTCTAAAGTTGGCTCGGCCCTAACCACTGTAGCATCAGGATGCCCTTCTAAATACACTTCAAAATCTCGGAGAATTTGTCTAACTAAGGAGGAATAATCCTCTAACTGCTTAAGTTTTTCGACTTCATCAACTTTAGTGATGAGAATCAGATTACTATATCTATTTAATAAGTGCTGTAGTCTAGCTTTAATCTGGAGGGAACCTCCATTGGAATCATCATTTTTAAAATCAACAATTTTCTGTTGAATTGCATCCAGGATGTTTCTGCAGGTCTCGATCTCACTTTCAAAATCCAGTTGTTGAATACATTGGGGTTCAGGGGCAAGATGTCTCGCGTTTAATACTCGCAATAAATTCCTAACTTCGTTTGCGTTAGTTCCTTCGGGGGGCGCGCGATTCCGAACAGTTAACTCGTATACGCACATCTCCTTCAGGAGATATACAGGATTGATTACAAACATGGTTACGCTTTGAAGCAATAATCAAAATATCATATAAAAAAAAATTAAAAGGGGTTGTTCACGGGCGCATCAATTCGCACCAAAAGACCTACATGTCACTCACAACAATAAAAAAAAAGATAATAAGGTAAATACCAAACTCACGAGACCGATACCAAGACAATAGTCAGGAAGCTGACAACTCAGGATACCTGGGGATCGATGTCACAAATCAACATGTCGCTATCAGGAATTAGGTAAACACCAGGATTGAGATGAGAGTCGTTACCAAAATATCGAACATCAGGAATAAATCTCGAACATCACATGAAAATCGAACATCAGGAATAAATCTCGAACATCAGACGAAGCAAAATTAATAGCTGTTAACAGAGGACAATAATTAATACTTCAAGAATCAATGACTAATTAATTCAATCATAATTAACAATTCAATAATTGATGATTAATGATCCAATAATTAATTCAATTTAAGAACGAGAAAGAACAAGAATTATTCGAAAAATTGAATTCAAAAATTACTTGTTTGCAATTGAGGATGGTCAGCAAGTTCAATTCAAATACAAAAGAAGTCAACTCTAATAATTAAAGATTCAAGAAGATTCAAGATTTCATTAAAATTCAAGATTTAAAGATTTTAAAATTCATTTAAATTTCAATTAGAATCAACAACAGGTTATCAGAAGAAAGAAATTTAAATTTCAATTAAAATCAACAACAGGTTATCAGAAGATTATCAAAAAATGAAAACATTCTGTACTTCACCGAGAGGTCAACGGTGCCAACACCAGCACCAGCCGCGCCGACCAATCAGAAGGCTCCACGCGATGTTGGAGTCGAGCTCCGCTTGCGTCTCCGAATCACAGGTGGTTTCCCCGTCGACCAAGGTTCCGCCATCTTGGATTGACTCAACTCGTTATCACAGAAATTTCACGAATTCACGAAATTCACTCAAATTTTAACGAAACACTGGCACTTTTCACTTGAAGCTAAAAACACGCGAAGAAAGAAAGACTGCCTCGGAGGAAGTCCGAGGACTCTACTCCTCGCCCGAAACGCACTTGACGTTACGTAACCTCACCGGCACACCATGAGGATCGGGAAACGTTTAAAGCAGAGGAAACTCGCAATCGCGGGTCAGAACAAGCTGAAAGGAAACACAAATTACGAATTTTCTAAACTAACCACGCTCTGCTACCAAAATGAGACGGAAAGGGCGGCTGACTAGGCTAATATGAGGTGCGCGAGGCAAGCCTCACCTCAGAGGGTCGGTCGGTGAGGAGACGTAACACAAGAACGAGACGAGCGAGTACGAAAGAAAAATCAACGGTTTATTGAGGAATAAAAACAGTGAAAAGGCACAGCTCAAAATACAAGAAAGAAAACTCGACACGAGGTAAAGATGGCTAACGAAACACACGGGTAGGAAGGGAACCTTGATCGACGGCCAGTGACGCGGAGAAGCAAGCGAAGACTGAGGCTCAAGATGGCGGGTAGCCGCGGTCACTGGTCGAGAACCAAGGCCAGGGGAGGGGAGTGTTATGCAACGGCCAAGCATATCCCCGCGAGAATATGAATGACCGCTGCAGACCGTCACAAAAGGGAGTTACTTTTTGGCCCCCCTAAAATTTTCTGGGGGCCCCCAACTTTTTTTTTCAAATGGGAAGACCCCCTTTGTGACAGCTCGTTCAAAAGGACATAAATAAGAAAACTTTGTGCACCAACTCAAAGTTATTATCTCAAACAGTTTCAAAATGGCGGCCGGTTAAAGTTCAAAATGGCCAATAATCTTTGATTGTTGTAATTCATTATTCGGGATAAATGATATGGCATAGAATAGACATTTTTAATAGACACTGATTTATTAGAAGTTGTCACATCAGATGCATGGAGAAGGACCGACTAAGGAGTAACTCCACTTCCTACCTACATGCTTTCGATGGAGCTAGACCTTGGCAAACATAAACTTCCCTAAACCAGAAACAGATCTCATTGTTAATGGTGAAATTACACATTCCACCGGAGTTCAACAATAATTGACACTGGTTGTTCGTCAATGGACTTGCGCAAAAATCGGTTACTACGGGTATTTTGAAATGGAAAAAACAAATTACTTGTTAAATTTTTAAAAAAAAACCTAAATTTCCAAAATGGTCTGAAATTGCCATCTCGGTCTGTTTTGGCATTAGAATAACAAATTTGAAGTTGGATATCTAAAAAGACCGTTTTTTGCCATTTTGAACTTCAAGCAGCCGCCATGTTGGAAATTTTGGTTTTCTAAGAAACCTAACATTAAATTCGTTTTTCTCGTTTTAAAATACCCTGATATACTGAGTTTCAGGCAAATTCATCTACAAAAACCGAGGTGCCAATTTTCGGCCAATTTGAAACGGTTTGAGATATTGACTTCGGGTTTTCGCGAAAAGTTTTTCTTTTTTAATGCTCTTTCGGAGGAGCTACCACAAAATGGGTCTTCCCATTTGAAAAAAAAATGTGTGGTCCGTTGCACCCCCCTCCCGAAGGAAGCCCCTTGAACATTTTAGGGAGCCAAAAAGTAGCTCCCTTTGATCTAGAAACAATCCCCAAGTTTCAAATCTCTACCTCAATTAGGTAAAAAGTTAGAGGGGGTGGAAGGGACTTTTGGATCACCCTGTATAAATTATTGTTATTGACTTGCGCCAAGCCAGAACCAAAGCTAATGTAGTGAAAAAAGTAAATTTGAATTTGAGTCATCGGGCTCACTAGGCAGACGCCCCTAGCGTCAGCCTCCGATTTTGATTAAATTTTGAGGGGAACGTACTCCCTAGAGAACTAAAACGAATGGTACGACCGTTCCTTCTACTGACCCTTAGGAAAGCCACAGTGACTTGTAAGAATTGCAAATTTTGAGCAATCAAATGGTTCATGCTCAGAAATCAAGTATGTATTCTGTCTCCTCTGTTATCGTTGTGGAGCAGTGACTGAGTGCACTGCATTGCTCACCTGTGATCAGAGTGCATTTTCACAGCAATGGGACCAGATTTCACTTTGAAGGCAGATTTTTACCTTCATTTTCACCGTTTCTTCTATCAGCTCTAGTGCTAACTTTTTAAGAAATTAATGTAATAACCTAAAAAACTCGATATGGATGGCAATTCTGATTACTGGAGAGCAATGTGGTCCTCTCTACGGTCCCTGCACAATAATGACAGGCATACTACTTGGTTTGTGAGCGAGAATTATTCGCTTGCTTTAGCAAATTTTAGCTGATTTAAAAATTTTAGCAAATTTTTGCAAATTGTTTGCTGTAGCAATTTTTAAATTTGCAATTTTAAAACAATCACAATGGCTTTCCTAAGGTCTAGTAGTGGGTAAGGTTGCACTGTGTAGTAGTTCCCTCAGGACTACCCTCCCCTAAAATTGAATAAAAATCTGAGGCAGACACTAGACTGGGGTCCTCCTCCTTGTCAGTTCAAACCATAGGGGGGAGCTTTCGAATTTCTGTCTAACGTTCAACAACAATTGAGCATTTAGAAATTCTCTGAACCAATCGTTTTTGTGTTTTAAGTTTCAATGGGAATTTTGTGTCAAGATGATGATGAATTTTTTTTGGAAATTTCCTCATTTGTGTTCATGAAATAATCAACAATAGATAATGCTGCGAAAGGAAGATGTCTTTCATTTTCTTGAGAGATTTCATGTAACTCATTCATGCAGGTTACAGGATTTAACGAACAAAGGTAAGTTTAAAACTGAGTGAGGAAAATAGGAAAATTTTAAGGCTAAAGTGGTGGCAAGAGAAAGAATATTCTATCTTTACTGAGGGCATTATTGCCAGTATCTCACCAGTAAATACAAAATAACAGTTCTCATAAATTACTCTCTACGCCACTGTTTTCACATCAACATTACATGGAGGGTAGATCAATTGAGTTCTTTCAGAAAGGAAGCATCTTAATAATTTTACGATACCACACTGCAATGGAAATGAAATCTCATTTTTCTAGTTTCTTTAAAAAAAAATTTAGACGATATCCAAAAGAATTAAAAAAAGGAGGAAAAAATTGTTAATTTTTCATGATGGGCGGCGAAACACTAGGGTAACACCAATTAAAATTTCATGTCTTCATACCTTGAAAAAATTTCCTGGTATGTTGTAGATATGGTAGACAGGTTCACTGATGAGCTGACTACGACTGTAGCCCGGGGACACATACCAAACTTCATTTTCTATTTTTGATGGAACTGACCTGAATTTCACGGCAAAGTCATCACTGGAACTACTACTACTGCTATCTGCAAAGTCAGATCATTTCAAAAATATTACATTTAAGGATTGGAAACATCCACTTGATACTATAAGCTCTCAGAATTCCTTATTTTTATTTCTGGTAACAGTTAATTCTAGCGTTCTACTGAGCCGACTCTCATGACTTTTGCAGCAATCAACATGTGATAGTATTTAAATGAGCCCGTTTATATGGCCCAGATTTTTGTATACTACATAGTTAAGTGGAAAATTCTCCCACTTAAACAAAGAAATTGTCATTCTAGCGTTTTACTGGACCGATTTCCAAGACGTTTGCAGCTATCCACTGGTTTCAGTCCCTAGATGAGCCCGCTTTATTCAAATTTTGGAAATATGACACAGGTTGGTTTTAATCAGGTAGGTTGGGAATTTAAGCAAGGTGAGGAACAGAATAGAATGAAAAATTTGAAACACCCGCCGACGAAAAATGGCGGGACTTTTGAATTTGGCAGAAAATTGAACTAAACGAGGGATGTTGAAGCTTGGTCTGTTTCTACATTACCCAATGTAAATCCATTCTAAAACGGACAGCCAGGAGTAGCAGTAGGGCAAGGTAAGTGAAACGAGGGTATGCTCCTTTGCTACGGACCACCCAAGAGCGACAAAACGCTCTGTTCCATTTGATTTCTTTCAGGCTTGGCAGGAAGCTCACAATAAAATGCTGACTTTTATATTCGATGCATATTGGTCAATTGGGCCTAATGCAAACTTTTGCGGGAGCAAAAATACGAGTCCTTCCCATCAGTGAATGTCTCAAAAATCACTATGAGCGCATTGGCAAATTCTGAAATGCACTCCTAACTTCACAGTCTGCGTAGGAATTTTGCGTTTTTTAACTGCCCCCTTCGAAAATGATACTGCGGCACAGGTGAACATTTCGTTAGAGGAGTTGTTCCATTCAACCCTTTTGCAATAGCAATACCTAACACAGCTGACGCTTCCGCATGTGATCCCAATCGGGAGCACAGTGTCAACCAAGGCGGATCTCTATCAACGCGAGGAAATCGTGAATGTAAACACACTGGGTTGTTAACAAATGGTTAGAATCTCGTCCAGGCACATGTGTTTTGGGTAATTGGTATCGGCAATGTGGAATATCTTGTATTATCCAGGTGCGTAGGGGCTGGATAGAACGACACTTCTAACGAAATGTTCACCTGTGCTTAAAAATACGCCAATTTCTGAAGTAGATTTTGAAGTTAGGAGTGCATTTTATACTTTGCCAATGCGCTCATCGTGATTTTTGATGCATTTATTGATAGAAACAACTCTTATTTTTGCTCTAATAGAAGTTTGCAACGGGCCCAGTGGTCCCAGCCAGAGGGACATTGGACCAATAACAGTTGAGTATGAAAATCGGCATTTTTGCCCTTGACTGCTCATTGGTCCAATCTCCCCCAGGTTTCAAATTTCCTGCCAAGACTGAAACGAAACAAACAAAACAGGGCGTTTTGTCAATTTCAAGTGCTTGAATAGGGGGAGAGCATACTTTCGTTTCACTTACCTTGGCAGTAGGGACCTTTCTAATAGAACCTTGCCTTGCTTATTACTAAGGTCTAACCTAGATGATAAAGTTGTGAATTCTCTCATTTAGACAATGTAAATGTTCATTGTTTTAACACAGTTCGTTCTGAAGTTGAGCTGAGCCGATTTTTATAGTTTTTGTGGCTACTACTAGGAGATGGTCCCTGGATAATACCGCTCTATTTAGATTAGGTCAAAAGGACCCTCTAAGTAGACCTTGCGGGGCGCAACGCGCCCTTTGGGGGTTGAATAGCATAGCCGCCAGGGGGCATGAGTCTCTGGTGATGATTAATAGAGGCATGAACTGAATAATGCTCAGCACTTCCACGTTGGCAAAAAGACGTGCATAATTTTTCTTTTTTGGTGAAGCATCAGCAGAAAATCGCAGGATAAAAAACACTGGATATTATTGGTGAAAGAATACTAGAAGTTACTACAAAATTCTGGTCTTGTCTTGATACAAGTGTTTAAAAAAAACAGCTTTAATGCATACATGGGTTTGGAAGAATTTTCAAAAAAAGGGGTGGATCCATTACCTTTCCGCCGCAAGCTATTGGCAACACTCCTACTTTTATTCTCTGAAATTTTCTGTCTGATGCTAGCCATTGTTTCTACAGATAGCTGCTTGAGTCCTTGTAATCGCACTCTTGCTGATGGAAATACAGGCCTTTGCGCAAATTGGTCTTCAATCAGATTCTTTGAAGAGATGCCTCCATTCCACCAATGAGTGGTGTTCACATAATCTTGACTCTCCAAAACCAATTTCCATTGTTCATTTTGCTCATTTGTTACCTTGAAAGGAAGAACTCAACCAAATTAATATTGTCATGGCTTTCAAGACAAACGCAATTTGAAATTTTGAATGTTTTTCACCAGCACCACAAAATTCATGAAATGCAATTGTCAAGAGTATAGTAACCTACAGAGATGAAGTATGGCTGATGAAACAGCCAACCCGGGAGGTTTTAGGGACAACAAAGATGGACTCTGTGCATAGATGGGCTGATATCTCCAGAGGATATCGCATCAGGAATGAGACTGAATGAGAGATCATGGCGGATGCCCAACAGATTACCATGCATGACATCATGTCGAAAGAACTTATATGGTCTGGTCATGTTCAAAGAATGGCAGGAGATAGGTTGGCGAAGAAGATTCTAGATTGGATCCCTCCTCAGCGAAGATGGGGGTCTAATGAGAGGATGGAGGGACGGGATTGAAGGATGCGCGTGTGCGTGTGTTGGTGGGTCGGTGTGTGTGTGCGCGTGCGAGGGTGTGCGTGAGGGTGTGTGCGTGTGTGTGTTGGGGAGGGTGCTAGCTTAAATACAAAACAGGAAATAGGAAACTTACTAAAACAGAGATCACATTGATGTCTTCAGCAAAAACGGCAACAGAACTGATGTCTCCTGAGACAGAAGTCTGACCCACGAGATGTCCATTACTAAGGTCGCGAAGCTGAATTTTGCCAGATTTCCCACCAATTACAGCAAAATTTCTAAGAACAGTATGGACGGAAAAAGGATTTGACGATTATCAAAGAACCTATTGGAGGAGTGAGGGTATTGTACAGGGTGTTTCAGATCACACGTACCAGGCTTAATTTCTCCTTTATTACGGTAACCTTGCATAGTGTCAACGATCATGGTGTTAACAAACCCAAAATCTAATCATGGGGTCAACAATTGTTGACGTCATGCTCAGGCAGTAAAACGTAAAAATGGACTCTGAGGATGGTGTCAACGATCACGGGGTCAATAAACAGAAAAATATCTTCCTTATGAGTAAAATTAAAAAATTAATTGTACAGGAGAGGTTTGGGTCACGTATAGTTCGATTAGGTTAGTTTAGGTCAGGACATGTGTGGTTAGATTAGGTAGGTAAAGTTAAAGTTAGGTAGGTAAGGTCGGGGAAAGTTAAGTTCTGTGAAAGTGGGTTATGTCTTGTACGGTAAGTTGGGTAAGGTTAGGTTAGGTTAGGTTAAGTTAGGTTAGGATAGGTCAGGTTAGGTTAGGTAGGTTAGAGTAAATAACACACGAAAAACAAGACTTGAAATTTGAGTCTTGAGTCTTGAAATACGGAGGGAAGTTTTAAGATTCGTTGACGTCAAGATCGTTGACACCGTGATCATATTTCATAAGAGTCAGAATTTTTTATTTTTGGATGATCATGGTATCAACAAAACCTTAGAAAATCTGTTTTTTGACACCGTAATCGTTGACAGCATGCTACGTAATCTCGGTTATTTTTAGGTTGGATGAAGTCAGAGACTGCTGGATCTAACAAAGAATCGACCCCAGGGAATCAAGCATCTATATGGAATTGACTCCAAGTAGTGCAGGGTCGTTCATGAATCGAATCGTTCAAATGAAAAGGTAATCGAAAGGGACGAGTATCCTAGACTATTCACACCAAAATGAACCAGTTCATCAGGAATCGATTCGCGTCTGGCACTACTGCGGTAACTAGACGCAAGTCGTTCATTTTAGTCGTTCATGAATCGAAAAAATCGGAATCGCATGGATGCCAACCGAACACTGAACAATCTTTGACTGCTCCGTTGATGAGAGTTGAAGATAGTACCGTTTTAGGTTGGTATCCATAAGATTTCAATTCTTTTCGATTCATGAACGACTTGCGTTTATGAATCGAAAGGAATCTGAATTGCATGGGTTATTGTTAGTCGGCACCATTGCCAATAATTGATGCATGAATGAGTAAATATAAATGCCCTCGAGACAGGTCACCGATTCCGAATCTTTGGAAATTGATAATGATCGTTATGACTATCCGTTCGGATTCCGAATCAGGAGATGAACGACAATCCTATCCAACCTCATTTCAAGGTTGGTCTCGTTCCTTGAATCCAGCAGTTCATAGGAACTGTTTCTAGATTTTGATTCCTAATGAACAAGTATGTTGGACGAGTACTAGGAGTGAATCAATTCCTCAGTAACGAATACCAAAAGTGAACGACTCTTCCCAGCACTAACTCCAAATAATCTAAAATTCGTGGCTCTTAAGCCACCCGGGTCCATCACGGAGAATAAAAGGGGAGTAGTGACGTCAAGAGTTAGGGTTCCCGTTAAAATTTCGAAAACATTCTATTAAATTCAGAAAGTACCTGTGGTAGATTTTACCCCAAATCGATACTAGGATATCCAAAATCGGACCACTCCTGTTCGATATATTGATCACCGAAGGTGAGGGACAGAAGGGTGTCCCATTTTGGACGGTGAAAAAAAAATTTGCAAAATCTAATCGAGACCCTTGCCAAAAAGCTTCCCTCTGCTTAGAAAAAAATCACAAAAAAATCTCAGGGTCGCAGCTAAAGTTTAAGGGATGCCGCAAGGCACTTTGGTGGTTTTACCGATTTCTCATCTTGGCGATCGTAGCAATTTTGCAGATTTTTTTTTAGAAAATGCAATCTAGTTAGAAAGTCGCAAATGTGGATAATGAGACTTCTCATACTATATTTTAAGTTAAAAATAGCAGTTTGGACTCACAAGGCTCAGAAATCCCTCGTTCTTAACTCTCAAAACGCAAAAATCAGCGATCTGAGCATTTACTAGTCAAAACACTACTCGACCGTCACTTCACTTAAATGTCGCGGTATTTGACGCGCTGTTTCATATTGATCCCATCAAAGGGGCAAAAAGTCCTTCAAGTATGTTCATTAGGGATGTAAGAGGGTCACTTTGGCCAATTTTCGTTGATATCAAACTTTGCGCTCATTGTTTAATTTTTTTTTTTTTTTTAGAGTTTTTCATCATTATTTAAAGCTGCTTAAAAAGGGCAACTCATCTTACACCAGAATAGAACTCCTTTGGCAGAAAATGTACGTAGGTGGTCAAATCCTTCCTCTAAAAAAGTTTTTGGATTCAAAGCCTCCCAAAAAGCCGATGTCACCATATTCTATCGCCTAAAAACACAAAAAACCGTAAAAAGTACCTATTTCAGTATTCGGAGGCTGTACCTCACCGAGCTCATTCAGCAAATTTCAGCTAACCTTGAATTTGCATACGTTATGACCACATTACTCGTGATTATGTATATGTATTTCTGTCTGTTCTATAGAGCCTATCTATAGAGCCTCCCACCGCAACGCGACGTTGCCACACATCATCGGTAAAAGTCGATAAAAATCCGTGTTTTCTTGGATTTGAGCCATTTTTTCGGATAATGCACATGGAATAAATATGTAAGACTTAAATTGCAGTATTCCGAGATGCAAGGGATCAAACCTTGTGCCGATATTCAATATTTTAAGATCCTGGGATTATAGACGACCCATTTCTCACGAATTCTAGGCATGATGTTGGTGCACCAGGATGCAACTTTCAAACATTGACCGTGATCTGAGGACCAAAAAAACAATGCTACTTTTCAAAATCGCAGGTTCTCAGTGCTGAATTTTTACCCACTCTGACACCCATTCCCCCCCCCCCCTCACCACCGTCCTTTTGGACGGGCACCGATCACTAAGAATGCTGCTTCCTAATTTTTTTCTAAAACCGCATAGTGGAAGTTCAAGGGTAGATGAATCACAGGAAGATGTTTAATTGCGTTCCTCCTGAGAGAAAACAAAAAGAACGCCCAGTGAGAGAGTGGCGACAGGGGGTCTTAGAGGAAATGAGGGAGTGCCAACTCCTTACAGGACTTTTGAAGGTTAGGGGACTTTGGCAGCTGGAAGTCGCGCGTGACTTCTCTAAGGAAAATAATATTAAACATCATAAATCTCACACATCCACCCTTGTGATTCCTACGTGATTCATCCACCCTTGAACTTCCACTTTGCGGTTTGAGAAAAAAATTAGGAAGCAGCATTCTTAGCGATCGGTGCCCGTCCAAAAGGACGGAGGTGAGGGGGGGATGGGTGTCAGGGTGGGTAAAAATTCAGCACTGAGAACCCGCGATTTTGAATAAGGGCATTGTTTTTTTGGTCCTCAGATCATGGTCAATGTCTGAAAGTCGCATCTTCGTGCACAAACATCATGCCTAGAATTCGTAAGCAATGGGTCGTCCATAAGCGCAGGATCTTAAAATAATGAATATCGGCACAAGGTTTGATCCCCTTGCATATCTGAATACTATTTACTAATAGAATATTTTTACAATTATTTTGACAGAACCCCCCCCCCCCCCCCCCCNCCCCGAGTGGAACCGTGGGGTGCTTCGCGGCCACGAAATTTGGATTCCTTGGAGTCAATGCAAAGTAGACTCCGCAGTCTTTGATTTCATCTAACCTAAAATAACCGAGAAGAAAGCCTGGTACGGGTGGTCTGAAACACCCTGTAAGTACAGCTATTATGTCAGGTTTGAGGATGTTGAGGAGTATGACTCAACTCATGCTCCTCAGCACCAGCATTATGGCTTAGAATTACAGTTTTGAGGAAGTACGTACTTCCCACAGATAGCTTAAATACAGTTATTTGCTATTCTGATGTCTACAATGAGCCAATGAAGATATTAAGGGATCGTATTTGGCAAAAAAGAAGCAGCACAATTACAGGGTTTCCAAAATCGTGCAACTTCTATTTTCTTGTACAGTTTTTAATTTTACACGATTATTATCCTTTAAAATTAACAATTTTTTGGTGGGAAGCAAAAACTACTTGTAGTCCAGTCAATCTAGCATTTTTCTGGGAAAATCTATATATACGTTTTTTTGCGGAAACATGTTGCATTAGGCAACCAGAACAACAAATCAAAAGTTTACCAAAATCGGCCGTCCGCTAAGGCCGCCATCTTGGAAAGGGGGGCGGGGGGCCAAAATACGCCGCCGGCGACCGGTTTTTAGCTTTTATCTTGAGAAATATCGATGCTACGGAAAAATGTCACTGAACCTTTTAAAAAGATCATAAAATTTCCTATTAGAAACACTATACATTTATCAAGTTGCGACTTCTGGTTCGTGAGATATGGCGGTAGTTTCCTGCGGCTAGGAAAGTAAAATCTTGCGAGAAATCACGTTTTTTCAACAAAATCTGTAATTATCTTAAAAACGGCGAGTCTGAGGCAAAAAAGTGTTCTCACCGGAATGAAAGAGCATGAAATTTCCATGCTAAAAATGCTTATGAATTCACTAGGGGGTCCGCCCCCGGAGCGCTATGCGGTCCGAACCAACGGCGGCTACTACGCGGTGAGGCTCGGCTTGGCCACGCCATGCATTGTTGCGGTCCAAGATGAAACGGCTTCACTTTTTTGGTAGATTTACCGCGAGGTTAAGTCATATTATCCATTTAAATATGTGCTAATTTCCTTTCATCGTGAACCCCCCCCCTCCCCCCTTAGGTCATGCATGTTGTATAGTTAACAAATGTTAACGGTCACGCTTGAAGATAATGTTATTATTTTATGCTTTCTTATTCAAATTAAATTTGTCAAACAACAAATCTTCTTTCTTCAAAGTAACTAAAAGGAAATGAATTAATACAAAATATAGAAATAGGAATAAGACAAGCATTTCTTCGTTTATTACCTTAAGCGGTGGAATCG